AACAATAGCAGAGGTGAACCCAAGATATCTACCAGTTTCTTAGGCCCAAAGAATTTTTAATTGTATGAAGGACATTCTGTGTTGTAGAAAGGTCAGGAAACCACTTTAGGTAACAGGAGACTGTTAGCAAAATCTGATCTCTTAAAAATTACATTTAAAAACTCTCTCTCTCTCTCTCTCTCTCTCTCTCTCTCTCTCTCTCTCTGTGTGTGTGTGTGTGTGTGTGTGTGTGATGTGGGCAGGTAGAGGTCAGAGGAGTTTGTCCTTCTACAATGTGGGTTCCAGGGACCAAACTCAGGTCACCAGGCTTGGTGGCAGGTACCCTTACTCACTGATTCATCTCCCTGACCCTTATAAAGAGGCAGAGGAGGGGGTTGTACATGCTTGACCTGTGCTCTGCTGCTGGACCCAGTCCTTGGGCTTTGGATATATACTTATTTCCAAATGCCTCTGAACCACACTTAATGCAGTGCTGAGAACTGAACCCAGGACCTCATAAATGCTAGGGAAACACTCTACCACTGAGCTATATACCCAATTGTAACACTTGACCTTAATTTAATAAACTTAGTGGGGCTCCCTCCATTATCTTCCATCTGTATTTCCTTGGGATGTGCTAATCCCAATATGTCTGTAGTCCAAAACCCATTTCCCACTGCCCACTGTCATAAACTGTTTCCCCTAATTATGCAGAAGAGCTCTGGCCCAGAATTGGTCAGTGTGAGATTTTCAGTGTTCATCGTGGGAACTCTGGAGGGACTTAGGGCTTCATGGAGGAACACTGGTCAGGGCACAGGGTGGAGCTTGGTAGACCACGTGTCAATCATGGGTGAAGTCAGGTGGTGTAGTCTCACCATTGCAAAGGTGCCCAGACAGACACCAAATCATGACACAGCTTCCATCTGGATAATGCTGTGTGGTTGCTGATGGCATCTGTACTGCTCATTCATGGAAAGACAGGGTAATTTGCTGTCCTGGATGGATTATTGCCACAGAAAATTTCACAAGAAGGCATTTAATCCCTAAGGCAAGGAAGGCCTTCAAATGAGGTTCAAGAACAATTATGTATTATAAAAGAAAGAAAAGAGATAACTGTCTGGAATCAGGATGTAATTAATAGGAAAATACTTAAAATGTCTGTATAACAGAACAAGTAAAATTGCCAGGGAACATACACAGGTTCTCCTCTGGAGCCCATGCATAGACAAATACAGAGGCTGCCGGCAGTTCGGGTGGCACAACAGTGCTCTGGTAAATGTCTGACAGCTCCAGAGAGGAGAGTCTGGATTTGCAGTGGTTGCCAACTTTAGTTCTATAAATACGTTCACCTTGGCCAATTTCAAGCTGATTGAAGTCACTGGATGTGGAGTTCTCAGTGGTGCCTGTCAGCCACTGGTTGGGTTCAGCCAGGTTCCAGCACTATGGTTCACTTAAAAACCAGAGAGCCCCCAGGGTCCTCAGGTCATCTGCCCTTAGTCTTGTGGATATTGCTTGAACTTTTATCCCAGAACCTGTCACATCTCCCAAATAGAACTGTCTGTCTTGTTATGGAACTACACCAAGAGCCATGGCTGGCTTCCCAGATGTCCTAGGTCTCTGGAGGAGAACAAAGCATTGAAGGCCAAGGGACAAAGGAAGTAAAGACGCAGGAGAGCTGAAGACAGGTGTTTATTGAAGCAGGAGAAGAGAGCACCCTGTCAGGAAGGGTGGGGTTTGCAGAGCTGGCAGAACGTTTAGTGACTCTGGGCTGGCCTTTTATAAGGCCTCTGGACCCTCTCCTCTTCTGATCTTCTTTTCTCTCTCACCCGCCCCCCCATTACATCATCTCCTAAGCCTGGATGATCCTTGGCCCAGGGAGATATGAAAGACAAGTGAGGCAGCATCCCAGCTGCTGTGATGGAGGAATGTCAGCACTTCCCATCTGGCCTCTTCCCCAGAACTCCTCACAGAATCAAGTCCATTTGCCCACCTCACAGTATACCAAATTCTGAAATGACAAGTTTTGCAAAAGGAGATTATTGGCAGGGCAGCCAAACTCATGAGCTCACATTTCAAATCCTCTTTTGAGAGGGTGGATTTGGGGCTGTTTATAACCTCAGGTGTGGGGAAAGGTGAGTGGAGACTAACCAATAACTGATAAAGCAGGCATGCAGGAACTGCGAGCAGGTGGCTTCCTGGTGCCTTGTCATTTATCCCTTTGCAAAGTTCACAGCACAGAAATTCTAGGACTGTCCTTTTGGTGCTTTTTTTTTTTTCTTTCCAAAATCCACACAATGGTTGGCAAGCCCTCTGTTTATTCAGAAAGCAACTAACAGGATGCTGCAGGCCTGTCAGTAAAAATTCAGGCAAACTACTGCCAGCCACAGGAACCTGTAGGGCAGCCGGAGGAAGGACTTCCTCACCCCTGCCTACCAGCGTAGTTCATCACCCCTTGGAAGTTAAGTGGCTGCTGGGGGCCTTTGGCCCTTGAATGAACCATCCTACTCCCATAGGAAACCCTCCCTTGTTAGTCTTGGAGCTCGTGCTTTCCTTTGGAACTCCTGGCCTCCTTTTCGTCTCTCTCTAAATTCTCTGTTCTGGGGTCGGTGGATCTAAAGCCAGGTCCTGTGGGGCTTGATGCTTATTATGGAGAGGCCCCTTTAAGGAAAAGAGAACCAAATTACAAACATGCAGTGAGTAACGTCAGGGCCTTTAGAAAGGGCCTGTGCATAAGATGGTGCCTGGAACTGGAGCTCCATTAGCTTTCACTAGGCAGTTCTGGGAAGGAAGTGAAAGTTTGCAGGTGAGGCTGGTGGTCGGTCTTCTCATTTGGAGGTGCTGCCCCTCCTCTTCCTCTCCCCTTAGGTAAAGAAGTCTTAGAACTCTTTCTACTTCAATTGAGACTGATAGTAGAAGACACTGTCCCCTAGTTCTAAGGGAGTCACTTTATTCTGCGTTGCTCCTTCTGTATCCCAGCCTCTTCCCCCTAAATCCCCAACCCCTTTCCCCATCTCCTTTCCCACTCCACCCCTCCCCTGCTTGATCAGAATAGACCTGTGAGGAAGGATCTTAACCCTAGCTCCAGAACCATTGTGGGTGAGAAGTGACCTCTAGTGGTCAGTCGCAAAGGTCACCTGCTTTGTCTCTCAACAGTGCCCCGTCCTCTAGTGGAGGAAGAGTGTGCCAGCCAGAGCAGGTTTTGAGTTTGAGGCCAGCCTGAGCTACACAGTAAGATCCTGTGTTAAAGAGAAGATGAAGGGGCTGGAAGTTGCCTCTGTGGTTAAAGTACTTGATATGTAAGTGAGAGGACCTAAGTTCAGATCCCCAGCACCCAGGTCAAAACCAGATGTGAAGAGTGCACCTGTCACCCAAGGGAGGGTTGGGGTGGGGAGGCAGGCACATCTGGGGCTCTTTGACTAGCTAATCTAGCCAAAATTGTGAGCTGTAGATTCAGTGAGACATGCTATCTCAGAAAATAGGGTGAAGCTTGGCATTGTGCCATCCACATTTGATCTTGGGGGAGCAGGAAGGGGGGGCAGGGCAGGCGGGTCTCTGTGAGTTTGAGGTCGGCCTGGCCTACACAGTGAGTTCTAGGCCAGCCATGGTTACATAGGGAGACCTTATCTTAAAAACCAAAAACTAAAACAGGTGAAGGGTGACAGAGGAAGACATCTGATATTAAAACCCAGCCTCCACACATGCACACACATGTGCACACATATATATCACACACAGAGAGAAGATTAAAAACCAGTCTGGCACAGTTACTACTGTGCTGTCTACTTTGGAGATAGGGATTGTGCATCTTGGGGACATTGGCTCTTGGCTTTCTGGGTTGCTGGTATTTGTGTTTGTTGGTCTTGTTTTGGTATTGTTTTTATATTGGTGATGAAACCCAGGACTTTATGCATGCTAGGTTAGCTCTCTGCCACTGAGTCTCAGCTGTTGCTCCATCTTGGTTTTATCATCAAGGTCCATTAAATTTATTATCCTCACGTGTGAAATGGTCACTATCATGGACACCTAAATGGAGGCAAAGATTGAGAGAGCACGTGTAAGGTATAAGAGAAGGGCCAGCAAGTGATTGGTACTCAGTAAGCATCAGTTCAGTCCTTCCTTCATACCCAAAGTTTATAGAGTGAAGAAGGAAGTATGGGATAGGACAGGCAGTGGAACTGATCTTGGTTTTTAGTATGAGTAGACTGTGTGGGCAAATAATGTCTAAGTTTATTCAGCCCAGGATGAGACACCACCTCCCTAGGAAAATGTACACACATACACACAAACCTTCACACACATACTCACAGCCTACAGATTTGGCAGTTTTCCCAATGCTCTAAACTCTCTTGTTCAAGAAGTCACATTAAGAAACAAGGAGATGGCTAGCCAGGCAGTGGTGGCACACAACTTTAATCCCAGCATATGGGAGGCAGAGGCAGGTGGATCTTTGTGAGTTCGAGGTCAGCCTGGTCTACAAAGTGAGTTCCAAGACAGCCAGAGTCACACAGAGAAACTCTGTCTCAAAAAAGGAAAGAAAAGAGAGAAAGAGGAAAAAGAAAGAAACAGTGAGAGGGCTCAGCATGTAAAAGTGCTTGCTACCAAACTTAAAGACCTGAGTACAATCCCCAGAATACACAAGGTACAAGGAGAGAGCATCTCACCTTCGCACGTGAGCTGTGGCACATAAAGGCCCTTTCCCAAGATAAATACACGTAAATTTTTAAAATATTAAACAAAAACTAAATACATCTGGAAAAGCATGTTCAGAGGACAGTTTTCAATGGATTCTGATCCCCAGCTGGTCACTAAAGAGGTATGTCTCTTTAGACAAATCCCTTTCCTTATTTATACTCTCTCTTTTCCTTTTAAATGACAAGTGAAGAGCAGAGGGTGGAGCTCAGATGATCAAGCACTGGCCTAACCCTGGGTTTGATCCCCAGCCCTGCGTAAACCAGGCATAGTAGCCCACCCTTGTAATCCCAACACTTAAGAGCTGGAGGCAGGAGGAGCAGTTCACAACGGTGCTAATTCAACAGTATATGTACAAAAACTGAAACCATACAGAGAAGATTAGCATGGCACCTGTGCAAGGATGACATGCAAATTTGTGAAGTATTTCATATTTTTTAAAGGGAGTTCACAGTGATTCTTGGCTATGTAGTGAGGTAGAGGTCAGCCTGAGTTACATGAGACTGGGTCAAAAAGAACAAGTGAAGACGACCTGGAGAGATGGCTCAGCTGTTAAGAGCACTGGCTGCTCTTCCAGAGGACCAGAGTTCCATACACAGACCTCATATGGTGACTTATAACTGTGTGTAGCTCCAGTCCCAGGGGATCCAACACCCTCTTCTGGCCTCCTTGGGCACTGTAAGAATGTGGTGCATAGACATACAGACAGACAAAACACTCATACACATAAAATATAAAATAATAACAATTAAAGAAAAACAAGTGAAGGTTAAACTGATGTAAACTTTCCAGATACAGGATAAGATGCCTAGCTACATTTGAATTTCAAAGAAACACTGATTTTTTTCCCTTTAAGTATTAGTGTATACCAAGTGTTGACTTTGTCATGAATTACCACATTAATCATTATACTGGACATGTTTGCATTTAAAAAGTATTATTTACCTAAATTTTCAATTCAGTAGGAGTGTGCTCTATATTTTCATTTGCTAAATCTGAAACCTTTTAATCTCTTTTTTCTTAAAGATTTATTTATTTTTATTTTATGTATATAATGTTTTGCCTACATGTATGTATGTGTGCTATGTACATGCCTGGTTCCCCGGAGGCCAAAAGAGGGCACTGGATCCATTAGAACTGCAGTCACAGACAATTAATTATAAGCCATAACTTATATATATGGGTACTGGGCACTGAATCTGGGTCTTGTGAAAAAGCAACAAATGCTCCCAACAGCTGAGCCATCTCTCTAGCCTTAACTCTTGGTTTTATGCTTTTGTTGTTGCTGGTTATTGGTCCCAGGGCCTGAACCAAGAGCCTCCCATAGGCTATGTGTTCTCTCTAATTCTGATGAGCTACAGCCCTGTGGCAATTCACATTTTGGTTCAAGGGCTGTAACTTTTTATGATGAAGAATCCTAATAACAAGGAATGAGAAGTTGCTTAAGCTAGAAATTCTGGAGGCCCCATGACTTTTTTTTAATGTGGGGCCTGTGCTTGGCAGGCCCTCGCCACGGACCTGCATCCCCAGCCCTTCATTTTCATTTTCAGACAGGGCTTTGCTAAATTGCCTGAGCTGGCCTTGAACTCACCATGTCATCCAGGTTGGCCTCAAACTTACAATTCTGCCTCAGCCTCAAGTATCTGGGATCATAGATGTGACTCCTGTGAATAACTTAAAGCAGCTAGTGGGCACTGTTGGATTCTGGGTAGAAGAGGCAACAACACACTGGGTCCCTGTGCTGGTCCAAAAGCTGTCCTGTGATCACTAGAGTGTGACTGTCAGATTCCTTGCTTTTCTGTCACTCTACAACCCTCAGTGGCATTCCCAGTGACTGGTGTAGGCAACCCTCCTGGCCTGTGGCCCCTCTGCTGTGGATCTACAGCTCAGTCCCTTCCTGGGCAGGGCACCTAACTCACACCTCTAATTTGTACTGGAATGAACATCCTGCCCTTCCTTCCTTCCTTCCTTCCTTCCTTCCTTCCTTCCTTCCTTCCTTCCTTCTGCTCATGCATTTGAGTGGCTGTCATGCAGTGGGGACTGTGCTTTATCCTCCCCTTTGGTAATGGTTTTTACTTGATCACCCTGATCTAGACCTAGTTCTATAGTCTGTGAATCTCAAGAAGAGACACAAGCCACCAAGCCACTGTGTCAGAGCTACCTGGGAGGCTTGTTCAAGTAAGACTCCTAAGTCTCTTCAGAGCTAATGAGGGAAAGGTGCCTAGTGATGTTTCTGAGTGAGTGTAATATGTGTATGGGAGGGTGTGTGCATGTGCGGGATATATAAATATATATATATATATATATATATGGGGGTATATATGTGGAGAGTGTATATTTGTGTAGGGGTGTGTATATTTTTGTGTTTTACTATATGTGTGTTATATGTGTTTATGTGTGGGGTATATATGTGTGTGAGAGAGTGTGTATGTGAATGTAAGGGATGTGTGTGTGTGTGTGTCTGTGTGGGTGTTGCTGAGGATTGTTTGAGGGCCTCACATATGCTAAGTGTATACTTTACTACTGATAAGCCACACTTCTGCCCACCCCAACCCCATAATACTCACTTTAATCAGAAAGTCACAACTTCCTGGTCCTTTTACTCCTTCTTTGGCACCTTTCCAGAAAGGCCTGGGCCTGGGGATTGTGGAGCACACATGGGTCACGATTCTTAGAACTTTCAAAATCAGGCTGCCCCTCCTCTGGGCCAAGCTACTTGTGAAAGCTGTGAAGTACTAGACTGTATTTTTTCAGTGCTTGTGGTGGAATCCAGGGTCCCATGCATGCAAAACAGGTTGTGCTACTTGCCCCTACCCACTAATAGTCCAGCTAATAGTAGAACTCTACTAATAGTCCAGCCAGCCATATTCCTTAGGCTTAGGTTAGCTGCTGGACTCAATTGTTAGTAGAAAGGTGATTTTCCTTCCCCTGGGTCCCAGGGGCTGGGACTGATACAGGGATTTATTTAACTTTGGGCAATCACATCACTTCCCTGACTCTCCAAATGGGGTACCACTCCACGACTATTTTCTTGTTGGAAATCCCTCCTCATCACCTGAAGGCCCTCTACAGGGTTCACAAGCTTCCTTATTAGTTTCTCTAGAATGACTAGATCCATTTCCATCTTGGAGTTGGAAAAGTTGCTCATGAGAGTATCACACACACACACACACACACACACACACACACACACTTAATGTGAAGATGGGGAATACCTGGAGACAAGGGAGCTTTGTAGAGTTACTTCAACAATTTTCCATAGAGGGCAGTAGAGGGTCTTGAGAAGACACCTTTCAGGACAGAGCCATCATAATTGGCTTGGATGGATGGCACTGGCATTCCAAATACCCTATACACAAAAAATACTTGCTTAATACACTGCTTCAACAATTTTAATATTAAAACTGTCAAACATACACACCAAGAAGTTAAAAGGATAGCAGTTAAAAGGAAGATCTGTATAACTCCTAGCTGGATTCAGTAAATGCCAGCTAACATTTACCATGTTTATTCTGTTGATTTGCTGTTTGTGTTGCTGAAGATCGAGCCCAAAGCCTTGAACATGGTAAGCACACACTCTCCCACTTAGCCAGATCCCCAGCCCTGTTTTTGCTGACTCATTTGAAAGTTAGTATAATTATCATGACCCTTAACCCCTACATTGTTTGCAGCCATCTCTTGAGAATTAGGGCATTCTTCCACATAACTGCAGCATCATTATCACACCTATGAATAATCAAGTATTGTTTCCTAATATTATCTAATATCTAGGTATAGAAATTGCTGTTAGTGCCCTACCCATAGCCTCATGGCCTACATAGAAGTTACCTACAAACAGTTCCCAGAGAGCAAGTAACTTCCTGTGTGTCTTTAAGTTGGCTCACCAGGCAGACTGGAAGCACTAGAGAGTCATTGGCTCTCAACCAAAGATGGAAAGACACCAATGGCTAATTATTCAAGCTCCTTGCTTTGAATGAACTTACTATGGGCTGTATTGCACAGAACTCATTGAAGGCTCCACAGTAGTCTCTTGCTCACTAACACTTCCTTTAGTAGTTCTCTCCTTTCCCTGTCTTACTTACAGTGCCTCCTGAGATGGTTGTTAGATGAACTATTTGCACCCAGTGCTTTATCCTAATATCTGCTTTAGAGGGATCCAAACCCACAGGCATCAGACCTTTGCAAAATTCATTCAGTCAGGTATATCTCTGTGAGTTCAAGGCCAGCCTGGTCTATGAAGGGAGTTCCAGGCCAGGCTCCAAAGCTACACAGAGAAACCCTGTCTTGAAGAGAGAGAGAGAGAGAGAGAGAGAGAGAGAGAGAGAGAGAGATTATTTGTTTCGGGATTGAGAGATGTCTCAGAGGATAAGAGCACTGGCTACTCTTCCAGAGGACCAGACCTAGATTCAATTCCTAGCAGTTCACAACTGTCTGCAACTCCAGTTCCAGGGGATCTGACACCCTCACACAGATATGCATCCAGGCAAAACACCAATGCACATAAAATAATACATAAATCACTAAAAATGTTTTTAATTTGATTTATGTCTCTATGTGAGTGTGTGAGGTACCTGTGGAGACCAGAAGAGGACATTAGATCCCATGGAGCTCGTGTTATGAGCAGTTATGAGCTACCTGACATGGGTGCTTGTAACCAAACTCAGGTCCTCTGCAAGAACAACAAGCACTGGTTATCCATTTCTCCAGCCCTGCTAGATTCATTTTTAGGTGATAAAACAGCAGAACACACTGCTCTTGTTTCCACTGAGAAACACACTCCAAGCCTGCTTGGGGTGGGAAGGCTGTACCCAGCCAACAGGAGCTTTCCTGATGATGATCTTTACTTGAACAATGCTAGAGCAAGGCTGGGCCCTGCCCAGCCTATCTTCATAACAATAATAATTATGACTTGTGAAGAGCCTACTGTACAGCAGCTTTACATGCTCCATTTCACTTAATCCTCACAGTAGGGAGGGTAGATACTATTATTAATTCTATTGTGTTCATCAAGAACCGAAGGCTCCTAGGGGTTAGATAACTTTTCAAAGTCACACAGTCAGTAAGAAATAGATCTCTGCCGTGGTTACCTAATGTGTTAAAAGATGTGGAAAGAGCCACCTGTGGTGGCATACACCCGTAATCTTAACATTTGGGAATGGAGGCAGGAGGATTGGGATTCACAGTAGCCATGGCTACATAGTGAATTCTAAGCCAGCTTAGGCTCTATGAGACCTTGCCTAAAAATAAGCAAGTAAGTAAATAAATAAATAACAAAAATGGAGAGCGTTGAGGGTGTAGCTCAGTGGTAGAGTGCTTGCCTACCATATATGACAATGGGCTTGGTTCCCAGCAACAGAAAGGAGATGGTATGGATAATCATAAACATTCTTCTATTTTTTAATGTCAGAAGCCAGCCTTGGCGACCCCCCATGCCTAGC